TAACCCCAGGCCGCACGGACTCCGGGAATGGAAGCGGCCGCTCTCAGGAGAGGAGAGCTGGAGCGTCAGAGAAGTCGGCTCACCAGATTAACACATTTCAGTTCAATTTTGCTCTGCTTCTCACTAGGGACAGCGAGCCGGAAAGTACACAAGTGATTTTTGTAGGTCACTGCCGAGCCCTGCCACCCACTTACCGGGACGGCAGAGCAGCGAGCGGGCGGCCGGCCCCGAGGCAGAGCTCACCTGGACAGGGTGGCCAGGGTGGCCTGGGCTCTGCTGGCCAGCGAGGGCCAGGACGGGGCGCAGGCAACGCTGCTGCCCGTGCGTCCCCTTCCCTGGCAGGGGGACTCTCTTCCCCAGGTCGCACACGGCACAGGACCGGCAGGGTCTCCTTCAAGGCCGGACCAAGGCAGTGGTGGAGCCGCAAACAGCCCCCTTCTCACCACAGTCCCCTCCTACAGCCTCTTCTTCCCTCTCCGCACCCAAGGAGGTGAACGGTTGGGCCACAGAGGCCCCAGGGTTTTGTTCTGCTCTGGCTCAGCAGCGCTGAGTCCCCTGGCAGCAGCCACAAACCTTCCCCAGGGACGAGGTGTTGCATGTCCTCCTTGGCCCGCCTCCGTGTCCCGTCGGTCCCGTTTGGAGCGCCGGGCACACCGCACACAGCGAGGCAGCCCGACCCGCGGCGTAGGGATGCTGCGGCTCCACGCCAGCCTGCTCTGACCCGAGCCATGGCCCTGCACAGGCAGGGCAGCGGGAGGACCAGCAGCTCCCACTGCCCCGGGGAAGGCAGAAGCCAGGCTGGAGTCACCTGGGGGGAAACCATCGTCTTTTGGGGGAACCCTTCAACACCTGTCCACCCCCAAAGATCCTTCTCTGGGAGACCTCACCCGCCTGACAATCAAATGCCCTGCTGCTCTTTCCAACGGGTCGTTCTCCCAAGGCCCAAGATGGTCTCTAACAGAGCACCCCAAACAGCCCAGTCCTGACCATGCCTGGCCGGAGCGCCCAGGAGAGACGCAAGGGCTGGATGGAGAAATACATGAAAGTGAGGCATTCACCATCACGCACAGGCTTCCAGAGCTGCCGCTCCGAGCCTCCTGCCACCGCCTGCGCACAGAATAACCCCCAGGATGGGGCTCACGGGACGTGGGGAGAGCATGGCCCCTGGTTCACCCTCAGAGAAAGAAAGAAGCAGAGGGGAGCCAGGAACCAGAGTCGGAAAGCACAAGCTGAGCGCCCAGGCCGGGCTGCGCAGTGCCACACGTGGGCTGCCGGGCTCTATTTTAAATGCTGTGTGGCAAATATATGCAGGATGAGATCCAAGCTGGGGGAAGGGGAGGGTGCTGGGCGGCGGAGGTGTTCAAAATTAGGAGCTGAGCTCAGGCGAGGATGGCTTCTGGGAGCAGATGGGGGAAGAGCCGGAGCTGGGGCCTGTGTGAGATGTGCAGCTGCCACGCCGGCCCCGGCCGCACGCTCCCGGGATGAACAGCCCCGTGGCAGAGGGTGCGAGGGGGGCAGGCTCCCCTCTCCCTCCCGGCGAGGTGGGGAGAGCACGAGAGCCACGATGGCCGGGGAAGGATGGCGAGGAGGCCCAGGGCAGCTGCAAGCCAGGCTAAGAAGCCAGCTTCTTCAGCAGCACAACGGAGACCTCTGGTCCCCCTCGGCACTGCTCTTGACACATGGGTCACCCCAAAGACACCCCAGTCCCCAGCATGTTTACAGGGCAGCCTTCCTAGCGAAGGGGAACTGCATCGCCCGCGTTTCACAGGCAGGGAAGGTGAGGGATGCGGGGAGACCTGGCTGAGCCCCTCACAGAGCAAGGAACCAAGCCCTGCTACCCTCCTTGCCTGCAGGCAATCCTCCGCACCCGCAAAGCCAGCTCGATTCCGCTCTCCCCTTCCGCATCGACCCCGAAAAAGCTGCTACCATCTCGCTGCGCTTTGCAAGATGCTCACGAACGGCGCCCCAGCACCCGGGCGCACAGCGCGGCTCTGATGGGAGCTGGCAGATCTGGGATGGTACCTGCCCTACATTTACGGAGCAGTCAGGTTGACAGAATGAGCGAGTTTTTATATAGATTTTGGTGGCAGCGGTTTTCTTCATCGGCAGCGGGGCGGGGAGAGGAAGGGAGATGGAAAACATTTTCATTTAAGCTCTTTTCTGCATTCTTGCTGCCGGAGTCGCACATTATTCATGCGCCCCTCGTAACCAGGCTGGTGGCTCTGGGTTTTGCTCAGAAGGGGCTGTGCAGAATTAAGCAGCCGGTTAAATTATTAATAGTCTGTCGGGGGGTGCCCAGGCCGCCTGCTCCTGGTCCCCGCTGCCTTTTGGGGGGGCTCCAGTGCCCCCCAGAGGCACAGAAACCAACTACAGCCGTTTGACAAACCTGTTGGCCACTCTGCCCTACTTCGAGGCCAGACAGCCTGTTCTCCTGGCCTGGAAACCACCGGGCTGCGAAGCCTCGCTGGACGGGTCCTCCTGCGCCCAGTCTCACCCACCAGACACCCAAACTGGGCAGGCACCAAGGGGGCTGCGAGTGTTTTACCCCGCCAGAGTGCTTGGGGCAGCCGGAGCAGGCGCAGGCAGGAAGAGGAACGGGAGAAAAGCCCATCGGGCAGGGCAGAAGCTGCAGGGACACCTGTATTCAGCTGAAGGCACCTTCTTTTCACGGCTAGACCGGCGGGAGAGCTGCCACACGGGGCTTTGCGTTTGATGCCACATCTGCAGGCTGCAAAAGAGCATCCGAGCACCTGAAGTCTGTCAGGGGCCACTCTCTGGCTGCGCCAGGACAGCCACTGGAAGGGTGGAGGAAGCAAGGGCTGGGCTTTGCAGCGGGCTGAGCACGCAAGACCAGCTCTCCCCACCCGCAGCAGAAACTGTCCCCATCAGACACATCCTGCCCCCGCACCAACCCCCAGCTTCCTTCCTAATCCCTCCAGTTTCCTTCCCGCAGCCTTGACATCTGTTTTCAGGCAGCTAAATACCACTCGCAACGGCTGCTGCCCCCACAACAAAAGGCCCGAGTTGAAATTTCATGTGGCAGAACGCAACAAACGTGGACTGCAAGGGGGCACAAGCAGCTGGCACTCAGACCAGCCCCAGCTCCCTCCTGCTTGCGGCCTCCAGTCTCTCCCTCTCCTTTCCATTTAGGATAAAGCCGGGCTGGAAACACACGGGTCAGCACCAGGGCCACGCAGCCCAGCCGCAGAGACCTGCCAGCTCTAACAGGGCTTTTTTTGGCTCGTTAATTTTGCGCGAGGAGAGGTGTCAGACTGCCAGCCCCGGGGACAATCTTTCTTTCGCAGGACAGCTCCGGCACACGCAGCAGAACGTGGCTTTTCAGGTGATTTCATTTTTGGCTTCTGGCTTATTTTTATCCTGCGGGATGTATGTCAGACCGGTCGAGTTAAGTACGAGTCCTTCTCCTCTTTCCCATTGGATCGAGTTACTTGGCAGGCGCTTTGCCCAGGCGCAGCCGGCACCCTTCCCCTTCCACCCGATGGCTGCCGCGCTCGCGCCCTCCTGGAGCCGAGGCTGCAGGCTGCCACCCCGCCCCAGTCCTGCTGCTTATCGTTCCACTGCCCCCAGGATGTCAGCCCTCAGACCATCCCTTCCACACGCCGAGGGCCAACAGCCCCCAGAGTCTAGCCTCTGGAGCCTCTCTGCCCCTCAGGGGCATCGGCCACCCCAGTCCTTCCAGAATGTGGGGCTCTCCCAGGAAAGCCTGCTTCTCTCCAGTGGCTTGCTCTCACCGCTGATGTCTAAACCTGGCCCCGAGGACAGGGATCACTGCCCCAAGCTGTCCTCCTCACCAAGCACCAGCGGGACAGTGGGGACGGGCCACAGCAAAGCCCCACGTACAACCAAGAAAGCAGCGGTGAGCGTGTGGGGTCAGCGCAGCCACCGCCTGGGGCTCTGACCACCAGAGACCCTGGGAGGAGATGGTGGTCTGCCGTGGCCTGCTTGCGGCATCCCTCCCCGAGGCGAGGCAAAGCCCTGACTCGGGCAGCGGGGAGACACAGGAGCTTGGAACTCAGCAGTGTGTGAGGCCCCAGGAGAAGGTGAGACAGCTTTGCCTCGGCTCGAGGTCAAGGTGACGCCCAGGGAAGGACGAGCGAACCCTGCACAGGTAAGCGGTTCATAAAGGCCATGCCGGCCTGCTGGAGCTCCCCTCCCGCTGCTCAGCGGACAGAGCCGAGCTGGAAGAGCCACTGATACCCTGGAAGGACTTTGAAACAAGGACATTTTTGGAAAAACCAAGGCTGCTTAGCCCTGTTTGAAAGCGACTGAGTCTGATGAAAGAACACCACTGAAGAGAAAACTCTTTGCAGCGCTTGATTGATCTTCAAAGTCGGTCCTACTCTGAGCAAAGGGTTGGGCCAGAGACCTCCGGAGGTCTCCAAACACATTTTTTGCGGCGCATATTTGATGCTGCGCCTGGCCTTGCTGCCTGCCCCACAGCCAGGCCTGCCCGCACTGACTCGCAGGTGCTGGGGGTATCTGTGCAAGCTCCTAGCTGGCTGCCGGGACATCTCACGGCACGCCAGGGGAGTCCGACACCGAATTTCTGTGAGAAAAGGGCTACAGGATGGTGCCAGGGTCTCCCAGAGCTGTGACAGACAGAACCATCAGCCCAGCCGCGCTACAGCGAGCACCAGAAAAGGGACGCTGCTCAACGCAGCCAGCGCAAGGAGAAGCCGCACGGACTGGCCCAGCTCTGCGGGGCTGCGCACAGGGACCTGCCACCTTCCCTGCTCAGAGCGGAGCAGGAGACACCAAACCGCCCGTAGGAGAACCAAGCCCTGCCCTCCCGTGGGGAATTGCACGACATCCCGGGCACAGGAGCCCACAAGGGAAATCCTCACAGCCTCCCGAAGGGCTGAGCGCCTGCAGAGGAGGGCCACCCACCCAAAAAGGGCTGCACGGCAGGACAGCGAACACCACCTCAGTGTTTTTGCCTCCCCCCTGCCAGGAGCATCAAGAAAGTAAGAGGCCCTTACGTGGGCAGTTCTGCTGGCCGGGGCTCTGCCGGGGCAGCGGCCGCCGGGGGCTCTGCCGACACGGGACTGGGGGCAGCGTCCTGGGCTACAGCCGAATCCTGCGTCCCCACAGCTCCCTCAGCATCCGGCGCGGGGACGTGCTCTGCTGTTGTCTCTACCTCAACCTCCTGAGCTGCAGGGGACAGTTTCACCCTCTCAGCGGCTGCGGCAGCCTCCTCCTCCTCTTCCTTCTTCCTTAGCTTCGCCTCCAGCTCTCGGCGCCTCTTCTCATCATCCTGCCGGGCCATCCGCTCAAATACTTTGAATGCCTGAAAGATAAAAAGCAAACCGAGCGGGTAGTCAAGCTGCCAAGCTCTGCCCGAGAAGGTGGGGGAGAAGGAGAGGAGAAGCATCGCACGGTTGGGGCACTTATTACTGTCCCTCCCTCTCTGGACACCACACGCCCCCCACTCCCTACACCGAGTTGCTTCAATCCCCAACAAAACCAGCCGCCGACTATTTCAAAACTCACACAGCCACGTTAAAGCCATCTCAGGAGAACGCCCCAGTTCCTGGGAGCCGCTTTGAAATCATTGAAATCCCTCTGCTGCTGGGAAAAGGGCTGGTTACTCCAGGGAAAAGCAATGAGCTCTGACTCCTGGCTGGGAAGGGGCCTTGGAGGGAGCCATCGCCCCTCACCCTGCATTCCAGCGCTCACCGAGGGGCTGTTTGGAAGCCCAAAGCTCAGACCAACCCTTTGAGGCACAAACGGGCTGAGCTGCCCCAGGAGAAGCTGGAGGACAGCTTATCTGCTGCTGGCTGAGCCTGAAGGGGCTCAGAGCTCTCTTAGCCGTCACAGGAGAAGGAGCAGAGTGACCTTATGTGGGGTTTTGAGCCAGAACTGACTGATTCAGGCCAAAAACATGCACTTGCTCAGAGAAAAGCCATCCCTCCTCAGGCCCAGAGGTGCAACAGGCAAGAAGGCTGCTGCCCAAGCCAGGGGCAGCAGGAGAAGGTGTAACCCCACCCTGCAGTTTGCTTCTAGCCGTGCCCGTCTAGCGCAGGCTGGGGGTTAAAAGTTAAACCCACAACTGAGGGATGCAGCCAAGGGAGGCACGGCCACCCGGGACCTGCGCCCACTCCTCGAAGGAGCTGAAGCTTCTCCCACCCAACTGCCAGGGCATTTGTCACAGTAAACACGTGCTGGAAAGCGAGTGAGCCTCGAACGCAGCTGTCCCTTGCTTCCTGGGAGTATTTCAGAGCCAGCTCCAGTGCTTCCAGTGGGAGACCGACCCTAAGCCCAGCCCGCGGCGCCACTCGACTGAGTCTTCCTCCAGGCACAGGAGGTGTACGGCAAAGGGACCGGGGGGGGGGGGCCCCCCGCCATCGCAGCCGCAGCAGGACAGGAGCAGCTTTATGGTGGTGCGTGCTCATGCCCCTCACCCCAGGCTTCTTCGCCACACGGGGACCAGCCCGTGAGACAAGGACATGGGAGAGGCGAGCGCCGGGCACCGTCCCCACTCCGTTTGCCTCTTTCTTTGCAATCGCTTTTACTCCGTGCGAAGCTGCGGTGCCCGGCCCCGGCTCCTTCTCCCCAGCCAAAGCCCAAGCTCAAGCCAGCCCCGCGTGGAGCGTGCAGAGTGACGGCTCGAAAGCATGTCCTTCCCCTGGGCTGCAGCCAAGCCGGGAGGGGGGCCGAGTCCCTTCCCAACTGCTCCCACACCCTCCCTTCGCTCCGCGTCCCTGCAGTTGCAGCTGCAAGGCCGCCCTGGCCAACACCGTTCTGGGGAATGAATCCCATTGCCGCAGCGCTGCGCCTCCCCCCTTGTGCCCAGGCCCAGAGCGGTCCCCGGGGTGCACACAAGACGGATCTCCCACTGCTGCTCCCCCGCTGCCGAGCAGTTCGGGCTCCACACTCTCCCCTCTGCGGTTTGAGACCTCCCTGGGCTCCCCGCTCGCCTGCAGAGCCCAGTACACTCCCACGGCAGGGGCTAATCCGGGGACATGGGGACACAGGGGGTGCTGAGGACCCCCTCGTCCCACCCCAGGGAGAGGAGCAGGGATCTCCCATCAGCCTGCGTCACCCCCTGGCCTGACAGGCCTGGGAAGGGACACTCGCTCGGTCTGAGCAGATGAACACCCCAAATCCAGCCTTACCCCTGGTTTTACGGGCTTGTTTCCTCCCTGCTAATAAAGATTAATGACAGCCCAGAACAGCCCCGAGTCAGAGACCTCCCGCGCCGCCCCAGCAGCAGCCGGGTGGCACAAACAGCAGGCCGGGGCTTTTGCCATCTCTCACCCACGGGAAGGGACACTCGCTCGGTCTGAGCAGATGAACACCCCAAATCCAGCCTTACCCCTGGTTTTACGGGCTTGTTTCCTCCCTGCTAATAAAGATTAATGACAGCCCAGAACAGCCCCGAGTCAGAGCCCTCCCGCGCCGCCCCAGCAGCAGCCGGGTGGCACAAACAGCAGGCCGGGGCTTTTGCCATCTCTCACCCACCACCGAGGCGAGCCGGGTGCTGGCCGTGAGCTCCCACTGAGCGGGCCCCAGCCAGCTCCCAAACGGCCCCCGGGGCCCCCACCTGCCCTCAGCCGCTCTCCAGGCTCCCTGCTCCCACGCCGGCAGCTCCCCAGGAGCCCGGCCTGTCCCCTGTGCCGCTGGCAGCCGCCCTCAGCCGGGGCCAAGCTCCGAGGGGGGGGATCACACCCCGGCTCTTTCCATGAGGGTCTCGCTAGCCCCCAGGGCTCCTCGTCCTTTGACGAGGGTGACGCCTCCCATCCAGCCATGCCAGCACCCACCCCCGCCAGGACACCTCTCCCGCCGCCTCCTCCCCCTCCCCGGGCACAGCCAGCTACCCGGGGGCTGCTGTGCTGCCCGGA